AAGCTTGTTCTGTGGAACTGAGCAGTGGAAGGACAAAGAAGCTTGAGCCTGAGGTCTCCAGACCCTTCCAATGTATACCTTTCTCCCACTGTGGCAGTGTTTTGACACCTGCTTATATTAAAGCTGTTCCATCACTCTAATCTGTCTGAATCTTGTCTTTTCAACAACTCAACACAGAAGTGATTAATGCATAATTAGTGCAGAGAGAATGAAAGACTTTATAAGTCATTTGAATTAAATATTAAGAATAAGAGGACATAGGACCAGCCAGTTTGGCTCAGTGGATAGAGCATTAGGCCTTGGACTGAAGAATCTGGGGTTTGATTCTGGTCAAGGGCACATACTCTGATTGTAGGCTCAATCCCAGGCACTAGAGGGGACACATGCAGGAAGCAACCAATCAATGTGTCTCTCTCACATTAATGTTTCTCTCTGTGTGTCTCTCCCCATCCCTTCCACTATCTCTAAAAATAAATGGAAAAATATCTTCAGGTGAGGTTTAAAAACCTCATTTTTAACTATTATGTATTCATAAATAGTTAAAAATGTAATCTAGTCTCATATTAAGGTCTTTTAAGTGAGAAGGATTTAGTGAAGAAGAGATGAAAGAAACCCAAAGAGAAAAAGAAAATGATAGAGAGATGGGTAAATAGGAAAAAAAAAAATATAGACCAGAGGCAGAAAAGTTAAAACGAAAGAAAAAGGAATAAAGAAACATGAAAAGATAAGAGAAGAGAGACAGCTCCCTAGGCAAAATTCACCACAGAAACATAAAAGAGACCACGACTGTCTGGGACAGTGAAGGACAGAGAACATTTTGTTAAATTCTGAGGTCAATTCTAATGAGTTCAGTTGCTTTTATTTTCTTTCCACAGAATACTCAGACCACTTATCCATTTGAGCAGTAAGTTTTGGATTTTATTCCCACCTCTGAAATGCTAACTGCATATCCATCCATTGTTCTCATAGTTTTTAAAACTCTTCATCATGAAATTTTCAGAGATGTTTTGAAAAAAGGGTGACTAATGGTCCATAGGAGGAGAAAAATTCCCTGCATTGCTAAAGATATGCCTAAAATGTTAACTCAGGAACAGAATAAAATCAAGGTGGAAATTACTCTGGTTTTTGAGCTAGAGATGACTGTTGCTTTGGATGATTCCTCTAGAACCTATTTTTTTTTTAAACTGGGCTGGGAATAGGAAAAACAGAATGGTGAAAGCTGGGAAAGATAAGAGGAGATAAAGGTAGTAGCATTTCATTATCTTATAGGTAGTCCAAGCACTCTATGGGCACTTTGCTTCCTGAAAGTGGACAAAATCCTCATATAATAATGGTGTCTTGCCTTGTTCAATCCTCACATACATGGCTCATTCTTATTGCTTGTTCTTAGACTCCACCAACAGGTCTAACAACCAGATCCGTCTTCTCTGTGAGCTTCTCATGGAACAAACACAAGTTCAAACACCAGGCTTGTGAAAAAACCAGGCTGTAATGCAGTCCTATAAATAGCGTTATCCCCCCTGCCCCTAGAAGCCTGACTGATGTTAAAGATTTCACTTCCCATGTGGTTTCCCCACTGGGTATGGTTGCCCTCTGAGGCCTTCTCCAGGTGTAGTGGAAGCTCAAACCCTCACCACTGCAAGGATGATGGCGGCTGGCAGTCTCATGACCAGACATTTGGACTCAGAGACTTATTGTGCCACACTATGCTAGAAAAAAAAAAAGAAAGAAAAGAAGCCTCAATACCTAATCTTACATACATACATACACACACACACACACACACACACACACACACACACACACACACCCAGAATGTTTATTAGGAAGGTCAAGGAATCCCCAAAGATTCAGGATTTTATAAAACCAAGGTTAAATAAATAAAATATCAACTTCTGTAAACAGCAACTAGAACTTTCTTTTCTGATATGTGTTTTTAGATTATGGTGTCTGTTTTATATGGTTCTTATTATTCTTTTCTTCTTAGGACATGTTTAAGCCCAACTGCTTTGGTTTCCTGTTTCATGTTAGGTAGTTTTCTTTATATTCTCCCCCTAAATTTTGTTAAACATAACAAAGGTTAAGAGTGACAAGAACAGGACCTATGGAGATGACTGAGTTAAAGTAAGGAGAGACATGCGGCTTGCGGAGAGACTGCTCTGTTGGGTCAGCCCTGGAATTTGCATGCATCTCTCTTGTGCCTTCTTTTGCTGTGTCATTGGAGCTGGGTGTGGAGGGCCAAGGGCTCTGGGCTGAGGGGCTCATTGGCTCAACATCTTTTGCTCTAATGTAAAAATCTGCTACATGGAGGAATCCAGAAGTTTAAGCTGAAGGTCCCTTTTCCATCTCAGCTACAAAGGGAGGCTCCATGCCATATTGGAAGTCTGGTGAAACCTCCCACTCAGGAACACACAAGAACATGCCATCACAGGTATGACACTTGGACATCCCTGGCCTGTCTAAGCAATGTCTATTGTCATTGTTACAATAATTTGGGAACTTTTCTATCTTACAGAAAAACTAAATTAACCATAAATGTTATAACTTTAGTAATGTTGGAAAACACTACTCACAACTGACCAAATGCCCATTGCTCTAACACTGAGTGCCACTTGTGTATTAGTATGTAGCACATAGTAGGCATTTAATATGTTTATGTTGACTTAGAATTAATTTTTAAGGAATGAAGGGAGGGCATAGAAAATTACCACTGCCCAACACCTAACGTAGCAAAATGGCAGATACTTTGCATATGTTCACCGTTTGGTCCATACCTCACCCTTGTGAGGTTTGGATCAATAATGAGGAAGCCAAGGAACTGAGATTCCAGGGTCCAGAGTCAATAAGTGATGGATATGAATTCAACCCAGGTCTATCAGGTTCCACAATCTACATTTCATTTTTTTCATTATCCCACACTGTCTCAACCACATAGTAGATTTATGAATATAAATGCAGAGGAAGAAATGAGTGAAAGAGAGTGAATGAATGATAAATACTGGAGAGGAAAGAAATATTCCTGAGACATTTACCATGTGCCATGTACTTCTTTACTGTGCATAAATTTAATTCACCTAAAAACCCTGAGAAATATGTATTATGATCCCAATTTTAGAGGTGAGTTGGCTGAGACTCATGGGAGTTAACTACCTGGTAAGGATATGTAGTTAATAAGTGGTCTAATTAGGATTTGACAGTAGTTCTACCTGCCCCTGGAGCTGACTCCTTTCACTGTACTACCTGACCTGGATATGGGCAAGCTAAATTTTCATCCCAGCTTGGCCCTTTTGTAGTGACTCAGCTAGTTGTTCAGACTCTCCAGGCCTCAATTTCTTGTCTGTAAAATGACAGATACCCTACATTTTTTTTGAGGCTTGTTGGGAGCATCTCATGATGAAAGCGTGTGAAAGGGTTTTACAGAGTTCATAACATATTGAAAATACAATGGGGATTTATAAGAATATCAGAGGGAGGAATCATTAATGTTTGACAAGATGTTAAAAGATCCATAGACAAGCCATGTCCTGTAGTTGGTTAGATGGATTTAGTGAGAGTTTATTCACTAATTCCCCAGGAAGTAAGGTCTCTTGTTTTCCCTCTCAGCACCTAGGCAAGCTTGGTACAGAAGAAATTTGATAACATGTAACACAAAGTCTTTTTTTTTAAAATTGGAATTTTGGGATCCAATTTTATGGTAACATATCTAATTGAGTAATAGTAACTATAAACACCAGCACCAAAAACCTACAAGAAATCCTTATAAGAAACAAAATACCTACTAAATATTATACCACTAGATTAGTGGTTTTATTTAAATTAATGAAATGAAGTCCAATGATAAAAGTGGGAATTAATTGACAGAACAATTTAAAATATTTTTCTATATGCTCAGAACTTCAATAGCAATGATCTGAGATTAATACATAAAGTCAGCAAAAGACACAAATTCTTGGGTAATATATATTCATATAAAACCACCCCAGAGAGTCTGAGCTATAATTCAGCTGTCAAATTACATGACTGATATTCAGTAGGACTAGAAATTATAAGTGATTTAATGTTCTTGGGACTAGAAGAGACTAGAATATAAGTATAATTTTCTCTCATCCCATGTAATAGGAAATAGGAAAGTTAATGAAAATATTTTTTATTTGGAGTTATGAAAAACTTGAATGAAACAATAATGCCACAACACATTTAATTAACATACATAATAGTAATATGAACAAAACAACAAAATAATATTTATTGAGCAATTAATATATGCCACACTATAAACTAAGAATTTTTTCATAGGTTATTTCATTTAATTCTTAAAAACAACAACAATGTGCAAATACTCATCTAATCCCCTCCATATGACTGGGAACACTGACTACAAAGATGTGAAATAACTTGCCTAAAGTCACAGCAAAAGGAAGAGCTGGCAAGTGAGCTCTGAGCTCAGATTCCAGGTGATTAGAGGCTGGGAACTACCTAGGAGGAACTGAAGTCAGAGGGTCTACTTTACTGCCCCTTTTCTCTTGCCCTTTCTCCTGCTGCCTATGAAATAGCCAGGAATCTGAGGGGTACCTAAGGACAGGTTTCTTCCTGTTAACTCCAAAATAAAAACAATGGGAAAGCTGGTACAGGAAATGGCTCTGAACAAATTAACTGTCAGCTAAGCATAAAACTCATTCTTTCACCAGGATTCACACTGCTCTCTGCCCTACTTTTCCTTCAGTACCTACTTCAATTTTTATTAAAAAGAAATTTAAGCTATTGAGACCTTTTTTTTTTATTATTTCAGAAAAAAATGACTCAGGACCACAGATCACATATTCTGAGAGCCTCAAGTCAGAAAGTAAGAATGCCCATTAGGTTTATAGAATCAATTCAGCTTCCCTTCTACCGCTGAGGGCCAAAGAATATCTTTTGGGGAAATATTCTGGACAACAAAGTAACCTAACACACCTTGGCGTGTTATACCATAAATTTTCAAAGGCTTTAATGTGACTCACCTCTCCCAAGACATCCATGGAGTTATTTTCCATAATAATGGGGATTTCTGGCTTAGCTTAAAGGCAAAGAAAACACAGTTAGTGGCACGTATAGTGTGTGTGTGTGTGTGTGTGTGTGTGTGTGTGTGTGTGTGTGTGAAAAATTAGTCATTCATAATATATTAAACACTCACTGTATACCTGGAAGAATGTTAGATTTTTAGGAAACAAAGGGAGGCAAATAATCTTCACTGTGCTAAAGATATTTATATTTTCCTGGAAAAATACAGATACATAAACAAGAAATTATAAAACACTGAGATAAGTACCATAATGGAGGGCATATATGAAGAAAGCTTTTAAGAGAAACTGCTAACTCAACCTCGGGGAATAAGAGGAAGCTTTTGAAAATTGCAACATCTAATTGATAGTTGAATTATGATTATTAATGAATCAGGTGACAAGGGGCCTGTGGACAAGGGGAGGGACAGAAATGCAGTATAAAGTTTAGGCCTCTGAAAAGAACAGGAAAGATACTTTATACTTTAGTTGTTTGGTACTAGAAAATATTAGGAACTATTTCAATGATTTTATTATCCTGTTAGATTATAGGTGCCTCAAAGCCAGACTGTTTTATTTATCTTTTCATCTCAAGCTCTTAACAGAGCCCAATCCAAAGTAGGTATTAAGTATATCATCTCAAACGTAAGTGGTTTCAAGTAAGTTCTTTATGAATATTTTTAAATTTCATTTTATTTTGTTAATCTTCACCCAAAGATATTTTCCCATTGATTTTTATTATTTATTATTATTATTTTTTTAGAGTGAGTGGAAGAGAGGGGGAGAGATGGAGAGAGAGAAACATTGATGTGAGAGAGACTCATCAATTGGTTGCCTCCCACACACAGTTGGGGATTTAGCCTGCAATCTAGGTATGTGCCCTTAGCCAGAATCAAACCTAGGGCCCTTCAGTCTGCTGGCTGACACTCTATCCACTGAGCCAAACCAGAAAGGATTCTTTTTAAAAATTTTAAATATATTTTTATTGATTTCAGGTAGGGATGGAGAGGGATAGAGAGATAGAAACATCAATGATTAGAGAGAGTCATTGATCAGCTGCCTCCTGCATGTACTACACTAAGGATGGAGCCCACAACCCGGGCATCTGCCCTGACTGGGAATTGAAACATGACCTCCTGGTTCATAGGTCGAAGCTCAACTACTGAGCCACACTGGTTGGGGCTCAAGTAAATTCCTGAGTACAGCAGACAAAGCCATCTATGAACCAGATGTTAATACATTTTTAATATTATTAAAATATTAAGACCCTATCACAGGTGCTATTAATGCCTGCAGATCCACTTGACATTTGCCTTTACTTGCTGGTTGAGAAACCTCACTAAATAGAGGCAAATGTGATACTTTCCTAAGGATTTATTGGGGCTAGGGGAGCACACTGAGTCCACAAGCAGGGCAAACAAGAAACCCCAGAGAATTTGTGGCAATAACAGATGGGGAGCTGTGGCTAATACCCCAGCTTCCTAGCCTTTGTTTGGGATAACTCTGATGTGTGTTCTTCCAGAGTTCCCCAGGGGTTTGAGCTCTAAACCCACAGCTTGATCAAGTACATTCTATTATCTTCCTTCCTCTTCTGATGTTTCAGAGGATTACCTCTCAAATAGATGAATTCAACCCCAGTCCTCTCCTTGTTTTCTTTCAGGAGAATCCAAACCAAAATACAACCCTAACACACTGAGGTGAGGAGGAGCATTTCTGACCTCCTATTGGCAACGAATACTATAGAATAAAGGACCCCAAAGAAAGAAGAATTACTAAAAGTTGCAGGGTAATAGAGATTATTTTTGAATCTCAGGATAATCAGATTTAGAGCAGAGGAACAGGAATTTGTGAAAGCAGGTGACTTACCACCAAGGAAAGGAAAGTTAAGGGAGAAGAGTGAGGGAGATGCAGGAGCTGGACAAACTTCCAATCCCCGGTCTGTTAGAGTAGAGGCATTGTCAGAAAGAAGGAAAGAGCTGGAACTGGGCATGTAGAGTGGGTCTGTGGTACACCTGGGTATTTATTTTGAGGTTTTCATATTTTTATTCTTGGCTTCATCTATTTGAGGATTAACCATGGAATTCAGAGTGGGTTCTAAATGAACTATGTATTGTGCTTCTATGCCAGGGCCATGATAATATATGTTCTGGTGACACCCACAAATAGGTTCAGACTAGATGAGACTTTTCTAACACAACCTAGCCGGCCCATTTGGTAAAGGAGAAAGTCCAAGGAAAATCTAAATATATCAACAAGGAGGCAGAATCTCCTATTTTTAAGCATGTTCTGAAAGCAGGTCAAAGAAGAAACAGAAATGTTGAGACAGATGTACAGATAGATAGGTTGAGAAGAGTGAGACATAAAAGTAAGAAGCGATCAAGACCAAGATGAAAGCATTTTTATGCAGCAAAGAGGACACAGTGTAATTTGACAAAGCAATTAAGTCAAGTTACGGTAGCAAAAAACCCTTGGTCAAAATGGACACAGTTTGCCTTATTTAGAATTCATATTTCTTTGCACATCCCGGATGGCTGCCTTCATTGATTTGCCAATAGTAAGACTAGATGAGTTGGTTTCATGTTTGTGCTAAGACAGTCACACCGCAGTAGGTGTGCTGAGGGTGATAATCAATAAAAGAGATGAACAGTCTTTCCCAACTCTTCACAGAATGTTGTTTAGGCTCCATAAGGAACCTGGCCATCAGAGATGATTGATTATTTCCCAGCCTGTCCAGGGGGAGATCTGGGGCAAAAGGGGAGGCAGAAGGACAGGAGGGAGAGATAGAGGAAGACTATAAGCAAGAGGCTTCAAACTATTTTAATCTTGGCTGTAGCTACTCCATCTATGAACTGCAGGTCTGGCATTTCCTTCAACATATTGAATTGTGTGATGACCTCTAATCATAATGCAATGAGATCGTAAGCAAAAAAGTAAAAACAAAGATTTTCTTTTTACTTGTTATGTCAGTCGTGACTTATGCTTTGTAAAGTTATTTTCTTTTCATTTACCTCATTCCCAAAATCAATTAATTGCTCACTTGCATCACTGCTTTTCTCTTTGCCTTAATTTAGAAATGCTGTTTTAAAAAGCACAGTTCTTAGTCACAAAGATGAGAAAAATATTCAAAGCTAGGGGTTTTTGTTTATTAACATTTCCTTGCACCGCTGAGCAAAATAGAATTTTCACATCCCCCTACCCCCCACCCTGTTTGGACCCTGCGGAATCAGAGGCCCCTGCTGTGGGCTTCCCGGCTGGAGGAGCTGGCCTGCATTCACTCCAGCTGGCTTTGGCAAGGTGTGGGGGCAATGCCCTGAGAGTGTCTCTGGAGCTCCTTTCATCATCCTCCTATTCTCACGCTGGCCTTATTCTGTCTTGCTCCAGCAAGCAACTAAGACAATTAGGCAGCTAAGCCATTATACTTTGGCAGCCATAATTAAAGAGATTTCCAGCATTCTTAGAAATATTAAAATTGTAAGTAAGGGAGCGGTCACCAGGAAACCGATCAATTGTGTGATTTCAATCTGTTAACAGAATTAGTATTCTTTTTACTTCTTATATGAAAGGTAGGTATCAAGGTAAATAAAACTCCTCCTGAACAGCCAGCCTTGCTTGGCTGCACTCCAGGTCACAGGCTGCTTCCTTTCTAGGGGGAAAGCGAAGCAGGCAATAGGGATGGCAGGATGACAGGATGTCAGGGAGTCCAGAGAACAAAAACTCTTACCGAAAACCTTGACCCTGGTGGAGCTCCTCAAGATTGTGCCACGCCTGACTGTAACGTGGCAAGAGAACTTCCGGTCATCATCGTGGATTTGGACTGGAGAGAGGGAAAGCCCATAGTCTGCACCTAGCTTGACTCTGTCTTTAAATGCTGTGGCGTTGCTGATGGGGTGATCCTGGGTGAAAAGTGTCTCCTGAGTTCCATTGTCTTCCTGGTGAGAATAGATACCAGTCATTGAGCACTCAAGCAGGCTAGCTCTGGGCTAGGTATTCCCCAAGTATTAATTTATATCTTGTAAAAAGAGAGAGATGAACGAAGGATTGAAATGAAGAGGTATTTAGTATGTTACTAGACAAAGTATCAGTACTCTTGACTTTCAGCTAAAAACTATTGTCAATTTATTCTAATATGAACAGATACTCTTTTCTGTTGAGAACTCCTCTTTGGAGTCCCCTATAAACTGCATATTTGGGGGGGGGGTACACAGCACTGGGGGCTAATGGCAGATCACAATTCTCATGCCAAATTCAGAAATCTTAATGGCAAGGTGTGCTGAGAAGGCTTTATGTTTTGCCTATAAAATCTTCAACTGAACTGGATAATTATAGTCAACCTCTCTCCCAGCATTACTTTAGAAAGCTTTCATTTAGGTCCTCTGAGGGCCAGGACTAGGATGAGGTAAGGAGATTCCTAGGGCACAAAAGGTTCTTGTAAATTCACCCTTGGGCACCTGAGTGTGAGCAACTCCTTAATTTTTATGCTCTAGGCACTTCCTTTCCTCACTTCTGCCTTGTCATGGACCTTGCCCTTCTGCCCTTATTTCTGTGTTTGTGCTGCCTTCAAATAGGACGCATGAAGAGGAGGCTGTAATGTTAATCTGAACTTTGGAGACCAGAGATCATTTGGAGTATTTGTTTCCTCTCTTCCATATCTTTTCTTGGGTGTGTGAAGAAAAGCCCCCATTGTTCTTGTCCACCTCATTATTTCCATGGACAAGGTTTTGGGGATGTCACAGCATTGGTCCATGTCAGTCATTCTGCTGACTAAGGGTCCAGTGAAGAGGGGACTCTTGAGGGGCACAGGATAAAGGAAGGGGTATGTCTTTATACCCTTTAGTATAACAACATGCTCAATTCAGTTGCTTTGAAATCACTCAGACGCACAAATTTATCCTCTGGGGGTTGAACTCAGTTGTTCTGGGGTGAGACCCTCAGAGGGGCAGGGCTGAAAACCACGAGTCTAACTCTAAACAACAGGTGGATGCTATGCACAGGGGCATGGGGAAATGGAGGGAACTAAAGCAGGTGAGGTGAACAGAAATACATCTGGTGGGGAAGAAGTCATGAAATAATGAGAACAATGCTCTGACTTAGAATCTCTGGTTCAACAAATGAGACACATTCAGGGTGAAAGAAATGGAAGCAGATGAGTGAGAGAATACAAGTATGGGCTAGGAGCAGAAACAGTGAAAACATGAACGTAGACTTTTTAAATAGTTTATATAGATATTTCCAGAATATACTTAGTAGAAACTCTTATGTAAGACACAATTCTATAAATAACTACAGCTAGGATTGGTATCATCTTTACAAATGATACCAATGCTTAAAACCTACTTAAAACCTACCCTGCTCATACCCTGCTTAAAACCTACTCCTGAAGCAATGCACACACCTTTATACTTACATAAAGGACCTGTGTGCCTATCCTGCTGTCTTCTTAATGAAGATGTGTTCAGAAAGTTAAAGGGAGAGAGTTTATATTCTGGAGACAAGGGCTCCAAAAGGAGCCTTAAGAATTGGCTGGCACTTGACTCAGCATTTGCAGACCTTGAGCCCATTAATTAAGGAGGCAGGCTCCCTCTGCAGGTCCTCCAGCCCAACAAGCTTGATTTTATAGCTCCTGCTTTATGCACAGAGACTGTTCATTGAGGATTATGGAATTCAAAATGCTGCTTGATGTTTAGTAAATGACTAGCCACCCGGAACATTTCCATCTGTTACTCTGTTGTGGGAAGAAGGGCAGTTAGAGGCCACTTGGTTGGAGGTTGGAGACTGGCAAAGAAAACTGCTTTTTCCTTTATTGTGTAGCTGGGTGTGACGAACCCTGCTAGTTTCGTTGGTGGAGGAAAGATATGAAAAAATAAAACAAAACAACCTCCCCTCCCCCCTGTATCCCAATTTGCTCAAGGGTTCATTTTTTTTTTTTTTTTTTCTGGGCAGTTGACTGTTGTAGAGGAAAAGATTTGTTCCTTTGTTAGGAAAGATAGGATTCAGTTGCAAAGTTGTGCCTTGTAACTTACAACAGTCAGAGATCCTGAAAGAATCTAGAATCATGTTATAAAGGGGCCAATGTAAGACTGCACATGGGTGTCTGCTTTCATGGAGCAAATGGGAGGAGAGGCAGAAAAATACTAGTGCAGTCAAGCATTAAATGTCTAGACCCAGTAGAGGGAGAATAATACCAATATCATGCTATGACCACTACTAAAATTATATATTCTTATTAGTCATAGCTTAAGTTTATTTAGCACCTACTGTTTTAGGCACTAGTTAAAATTGTTCCAAGTCTTATTTACTCTCTACAACAATCTGGAATGAACTGAAGTTAAGTAACTTGCTCAAAGGTCACACAAAATAAGAAGGCACTTACAAAGGCTTTTTTGCAGCATCAAAAAGCAGGGATGCCTGGGACCAGGGACAAGTAAGCCTCAGAGACAACACATACTAATGAAAACCAAACCATCACACACATACACACCAAAAAACAAAACCAAACCAAACAAACCACTTCCAGGACTATCAGAAAAGAAAAATTTTAAAGAAATCCCTGGAGGCCAGAGGCTCTTATATAGGTTGTTGATTACAGAGGTGTGGACAATTTGCTGATTGAAAGGGCCCTTGGGAGTTAGATACCCTATGACTCTAGGCCATCAAGTGTACTTCAGCTGCCACCTGATAATGATAATCTTAGGCTCAGCAGAAAACAGACTGGTAAGAGGGTCTTATTATATAGTCTTTATTCTTGTCTGTTTTTCTCTTCTTATTCTTTTAAGAAAAAAAATTTGACAACTTTCATGGACTCCCAACTTAATGGACCCTATGATTTAATGGGAAATATAGATCGTACTGGCATACCTACACTAGTCCTGACACTCAGTATATGTTCAATTAATATGAGCTGTCCTCCAGCCTCACTGAGGATCAACCAGCTACTTCATGAGTCTTCTTTTTTTACCCTAATCTTGGCTCTTAGGCTACATAACTAGTAAATGGAGGAACCAGGACTTGAAAAAATAATTTCCCTCAAGGTCATGCTGTTAATAATTTTGCTATATACAGCCTCACAAATGTAGTAGGATAAACAATCCTTGTCTTGTCTTCTCAGAGGCTATTTGAGAAGAATTAATGCATAAGAAAAAGAAATAGAAAACCATACCCCATATCCATAGAAGAGAAATAAACATATAATTAAGTTATATACAAGAGTTAGATAAGATAATTTCCATGATAAAGGCTGGCTGGGGTCATATTGAATCATGAAACATCGCTTCCCTGTGTCCCTTAAAGATCTGACAAACCTGGGGATGAATGGTGGAGGCTTTCCTATTTTTGTACTAGAATTAGAATTTCCAATCCAGAAAAGGGACATTGGTACTATTTAATTTCATGACATTATTTCATCCCTGGGATGGCACAAGCTCCGTGTCAGAGCCAGTGGTGTTGACTAAGCACATGGTGGGTGCTGAGTGTCTATAGCTCATTCAATAAAAATTCTGTTCATTGTATTGTTTGCTACTTCTTTAACTCCATACTGCTTCCTATCTTCACGGCGCCCAATTATTTTCCATCCAGTTAGTGCTGTCCAAGCAGCTGCTTGTGAAGCCCCCAGTCCACTCTGTAGAGCACCAGAACATTGTTTTTCTAATCATCACAACTGTAGGTTGGCTAGCACTTTAATTCTGATTATGATGAAGACAACTAGAGACTACTGTCATCAGGTAGAAAGCGGAAGTTTTGTTTTCTGAATTGGTTTCTCATAGGTAAGGAAAACAGCATTGTTTATTAGCACCATTCATCTTTTATTTAGCTATAAAACATCAGAAATGTTAAAGAATAGTATATCTATAAAGATACATTTATAGATAAAATTTTTTTTAAATATAAGCATCTAAGTTTTGAAAAACTGTTTTATTAATTTTTAGAAAGAGGAAGGGAGAGGGATAGAGAGATAGAACCATCAATGAGAAAGAAACATCATGGATCAGCTGCTTTCTGCATACCCTGCTCTGGGGATTGATTCCCAGCATGTGCCCTTCCTTACCAGGAACTGAACTACAATCTCTTTGTTCCTGTATCAACACTTAATCACTTAGCCACACCAGCCAGGCAGCATCTAAGTTTTGGTTATATGCCTTTATCGCTAATATTAAACTGTTTACTGAAATATTTCTGTCCTTCTTGTTGTGATTTTAAAGAGAAAAACCATGGGTTTCTCTTTACCTACAACTTTGGGAACAAATATTTTCTCCTGCCCTTTATCTTCTCAAATTGTACTCATGTGTCCCAGGGTTTTAGTACATGTTTGTCATTTGCTGGTCAACTGTTGTTTTTTAAATATTCAGCTCAAACATAATCTTTGAAAGATTCCCCAGGTCCATCTAGTCAGAGTCAAACTATTTTCCCTCTTTTTAAAAACAATTTTTTAATCAAAATTGCATTTCATGGTAGGAAATACGTCCAATATAGTTTGTATCCCTGAAGGACCTAGTACCCCAAACAGATTTGCATATGTTTATTGGATTGAATCAAAATTTATACTGTGGGAAATCAGGATGATGGTTTGGAATAAAAACAGAATATTAGATATGTGTAGAAGCTCCCAGAACAAGCCTGCAGAATTTCCCTGATGGATGTGTGTTTGTGCCACAGGACATAAAACGGGAAAGATACAACTTGTCCTTTTTCTACCAACTGCATCCCATCTATTGTGTGATTTCTAATGGATCACCTGCCATTCATCTAGACCTTCCACTTTAGGGTTAACCCTTTGTGTTCACTTAGCTACTTTCCATGCTAGATCAATGTTGGATACCCTATTTGTGCCTGGTTCCTGTCTACTTCAGTGTAGTCACAATTCTGGAAAGTAACTTCCTCAAATGCAAAGGATGTGCCCATGAACACATTTAGCACAGCCTTCATATGGGATCAGATACATATACCAAATAATTTTCTAATGTTAACAGAGGGTCATAACTGATTTAATTAGATGCTATAAAATTCTACCTATACTTTTTATTTCCTAGTGACCTAGATTAAAATAATTTTAGTTTGTAAAATTGTTTCCAGACTCTAATGCAGACCTGAAAATGGGAGCGTGCACGGCTTCCTGGAGCTACTGAGTTCATTACAGCAGGTGTCTGTCCTCCTGAGCTCATCTCCCTCATCTCTGAATTTTATAAAAAACACATTATATAATGTTTGTGAGGACAACTGGCTATATCGTTGTGATTATTATTGCTAGTTTAACAAGAGATTAAAGAACTAAAATAGGGATTGGAGAGGATAGTTATGTCCTCTGCAGACCTATAACAGTCATGGCATGAAGTACTGCAGTTTATTTCTTAATATGAGCAAATCAGATAATTTCATATCAGACTGGCTGAATCCCGCAGCCTCCAACAGCATGGAGCACGGATGTAAATCAGAAGAGCAAATAGATTTTGACATTTAAAAATGGAATGCACAGTAGGAATTTAATCAGCACATTTGCCAATATAATACTTCCTTTGAAGAGAGGTTTCTTTCAAAAAGATACCTCAGAAGCTCTGCATCCTGATGCATTGTTTAAAGTGAGAGCATGGCTTGAGGTTCTAGCAGAAGTTTAGGATTCACTCTCCCAGTGTGTGACCTTAGGTGAACTCTCTCTGCCCCTCATTTATCCTTTCTTGGCAGGATCCAAAGATGAGGTCTATTTAGTCTTCTTCATTTCTTTAAAGAAAATTACTAGATAGGATGCCTTACCATTTATCAAGTCACTGACACTTAATGAGCAGCTATTCATTAATCAATCAAATGCACAGCATCAATTTAGTGACCATCAATTTAATACGAGGACATGGAGTAGGACTGTGGGAGAAGGAGACAAAGAGACACAGAGCTGTCCCATTATTCACCGAGTGCCTATGTTCTAGGCACTATATATATGAAATGCTAAGAATTTTTGGAGTGAGTGATGCAGCTTTTTGTCCTAGAGAAGCTCATGATCACACGAAGGACACTGATCAAGTGAAGGCTTTACATTTGCTTGGAAAAACAGATCACACACCCTAAAGATAAGATAAGACACTACAGATCAACTTACTAGGCAGCCAAAATCTCCATAGTGAAGATTTACTAAACTTTATTATTTATTATTATTAAGCTTTATTACCCTCACTGTTAGTTGAATTTATGAGAACTGGGGTAGAAACATTTTGCCTATACGTGGAAAACATTAAAAATGTAAGCCAACGTATAGAAAGTGCATTTCCATTGCTGTAATGTTTAGTATTGTAAGTTTCTGCCCTCCCGAGGTCCTCTCCTCTTCAAAGCCTTTTCTTAAGAACCAAACTGTATCGCATTTGTTAAGAACAATTGAGTTATACTAACCATAGGCATCATGCCCAGGAAGGCTTATATTTTAAAAATCAAACACTACGAAAGAATAAGAGCATTTTCTGACCGATAACGAAGAGACATTAGACAATTTAGGACAGTGAGAAAGATATTTTAGAATATTTTTTTCCTTTCCTTTTACTGACTACCCAAAAAATATGTAGCCAGTGAGAAACTATCTGTAGGTTGTATTTTAAGGCCTACTAGCAAGTCAGTTATTTTGGATTTGTCACATCCTCCTTAGAAATCTTTTTATAGGAAGGGTCTACTTTCCAAGACAGTCCACAAAAATCTAGGTCAACTTGAAATATGAATGATAACTTATGCAAATACACTATTTTGCAAACTGTATCAGCTGCTATGTTCATGGATATCTATAATTCTGTAAGGATTTTTAAATTTTGTGCTTTTATTGTGATGACAAGCTAAAAAATAATGTAATCATATTCTGTATCATCTAAATGAACACTCATGTTGTGATTACCAAAACTATGTTTATGATTATCTTTATAATTATCTTTAGAATTGCTTTGGTCTTGTGTCATTGTAACAATGCAGAAACCTTCTTTTCACATTATTGCAGGAGTCCCTCCACCCCCACTTTTTCCCTTTGCCTACCTCCACCCTCTCCTGCCTACCTCTTCCTTGGACTTTACCAAATTATTGTCTGTGTCCATGGAATATGCATAGGTGTTCTGTAGCTATTTCCTTCATCTTCTTTATCCAATCACTACTCCATCCTTTTCCCTTTGGGCACCAGCCAGTCTAGCATTCCATGTATTTCTGCTTCTGGTTACATTTGTTCATCAGTTTATTTTTTTCATTAGATCCCACATAAGTGGAATCATATAGTACTTGTCTTTCTCTGACTGGCTTATTTCATTTAGCATAATACTTTCCAGGTCCATCCATGCTGTTGCAAAGGATAAGACTTCCTTCTTTTTTATAGTATTCCATGGTGTAAATGTATTGCAGCTTTTTGATCCACTTATCTGCTGATGGAAATTTGGGGTATTTCCAAATCTTAGCTACTGTAAGCAATTCTGCCATGAACATAGGGGTGGATATATTCTTTCTGATTAGTGATTAGGATACCTGAAGTGGAATACCTGGGTCAAAAGGCAGTTCCATTTTGAATTTTTTGAGGAAATGCCGTACTGCTTTCCACAGTGGCTGCACTATTCTGCATTCCCACCAGCAGTGCATAAGGGTTCCCTTTCCTTTACATCCTCTCAAATATTTGTTATTTGTAGATTTATTGATGCTAGCCATTATGGCAGGTGAGAGGTGATATCTCATTGTGGTTTTAATTTGCATTTCTCTGATGATTAGTGATGTTGAGCATCTTTTCATATATCTATTGGACGTTTGTACATCCTCTTTGGAGAAGTGTCTAACCTTGTTTTTTTTTTAATTTGCTCTTTATTTTGATTTTTTCCCCCCTTTGATACAAACTGGCCTCAGCCAGTGCCTGGACTCATCTACCTCCCTCCCCTTGCTTAATAATTAAGTCCCAGGACAATGAGTTCTGTCATCATCCAGTAGTCCAGTTCTGTTGACTACAGAGACAGAATTTTCAATCAAAATAATAATAATATCTTGGCCTCAGTTATGTTTTAGCTTTGGATCTAGGAAAATGGAACAATCCCACAGAACAAATCCTTGTGAAACTGGACAGAACTACCTCCATGGTTCACATCAGGAATAGATGCAATGATTAGTTACCTCCTACTCTAGCACCCACCAATCAGCAGAGACCACACCCTAGCTACCTTAGTCACCATGATTAATGATTTCCCCATCCCCCACCCCCAATATAATCCAGCCCTGGACACCAGCAAGGAGCCAGGTCTTTGAGCATGAGCAACTTGTGACTCTGGGCATGGCACCATATCCTTAATAAATCCTTAATTTCTTGGCTGCAAACTCCTGTTCATGTCTTGTGGGACTTTGATTCACTTGGGCAAATGTCCTTTCAGTCCAGTAACATTATCTGATTTAACAGCATTAAAGGTGAACTATGTATATTGGCTAACAGCTGGCTGCCATTTGATTGGCTTAGAAAACTTCTCATAAAATTTCAGATTTCTCAATTTGTTTTTGAAGTCAGAAAACAAGGCAACTATAGGCTTGCCAATCCCTGTGGCAGTAATAGAGCTGGCCAGTGGCTGTTTGTAATATAGTTCCTCTTTCTATCAGGTATATTTTCCATCTATCTATCATCTATCTATCTATCTATCTATCTATCTATCTATCTATCTATCATCTATCTATCATCTATCTATCTATCTATCTATCTATCTATCTATCTATCTATCTATTTATCTATCATCATCTATATAAAACCCTAATGTGCAAATAGACCAAACAGTGGAACCAAACAACCAAACAACTGAACAACTGGTTGCTATGACAGTGCTGACCACCAGGGGGGGTGTGTGGAACATGGTGGGTGTCAGCAGCAGGCAGTTGTGCACGGAACAGAATGTGGTGGGTGTCAGCTGCAGCGAGATGATGGAGCAGGGAAGCAGGAGCACCAGACCAAGATAGGGTGCTGGCCATTGTCATAGGGGTGAGCGTGTGGTGATTACTGAAAATTCTTTGCCCAGTGCACTGGTCCTGATTGCTCAAGCTGTCAGCAGGTGCAAGTGGCAGTTGCCAGCCCTGACCACCCCTGAGGGCTTCTCTGTCTCCCCTTGCTCCTGAGGGGTGATGGGGCAGCAGCTGCCACTTGCACCCCCTGATAGTGCAGGCCACAATGGTTCAGCATCATCAGCAGGGTGCAAGATGGGCTGGTGCTTTCATCACCTGGGAGCAGCAGCAGCGGGAGTGGGGCTGCCAGAAGACAGTGGAACAGGGGCCATGGTAGGAGGGGCTGGGTAGGGGCACAGTGGATGGGCCGAGAACTGTTTCTGTGCTCAGTGCAGCCTTGTGGTCCACAGTTCCTTTTAAGGTGCACAAATTCATACACTGAGTTCTAGTACCCCTAGTATTTTACAAGCATTAGATTTTATGTTTCCTCTCATAAAGCAATGTTGTGTATTTCCCAGGATGTGATGATAAGCATTCTGAGAAAAGGGAGTCTATCCCTAGGCATACATTGTTTGTAAAACAAACATTTGTGAGTAGGGGCTTCTACTGGAGATAGCTCCTCTCCAGGGCACCATCACACTCTTTTCTGTAATGGGGGCTTGACATATAGCTTGAAATAAGAACTAACCTTTAGAAACTAATTTCTAAATCAGTGCATGCATAGACTCCAAGACTTGCTGAGTGTCTCCCTACAACCATTCCCAACCTGACACATAATACCTGTCCCTCATCCAGTATGTGCTTCCTTCTTTATTATTATTTATTATTCATTTTTACTTCATTAATATTTAACGATCATTCACTGAAAAGGGCAGCACTTACCACCAACCATGCGAAGGTGAACTCAGATGAAATTTCAGAGGAGATATTTTGAAGGCATGGTATTTTCAGAGTCTGATTTATCTCTATTTCTATTGTATTGTTGCTTCTCCATTCTTCCTGTATAACTGTAACAAAACATAAGGTGGAAAAGACATTGATCTGTGGTTGGTTTATAAAGTGTCCTTTATCAAAGAAAGGAGAACCGTTTTAACATAAAGATTCATCCATCCTCAGGGTAAACCTATGAAGTAAAGAGGAGAAATCCCATTAGAGTCTTTACTGTGTAAATGGCAAAACAAAGTCACTATAAAAAATTACCACTGAAAAATTATAGGGACTCTTTCCTAAAAGAATTAAGGTCACAATGTGACATGTTCCTCTGCTTTCCCCCTAAATTCATGCTTTAGTCTTCAGATCACATTTCCTTAATCAGATAGAATGTAAAACATTAAATATTAGCCTATAATTGCCTTTTAAAATTTTAATAGACTTAATATTTTTATGTCTGTGAACCTCAAACAGCAGAATGAGTGGAAAGTACAAAAGTACATATTTCCCTTGCTCCCATGCTTGCACAACCTCCCCACTATTAACATCCCTAATCATAAAGGTACATCATTTGTTACAATCATGAACCTACACTGACCCATCTTTATTACCTAACCTGCATTAGGGTTTACTCTTGGTGTTGTGAAGTCTGTGGGTTTCAACACATGTATAATGATGAGTTCACCATTGTGGTATCACACGGAACAATTTCACTGCCCTGAGAATGGTCTATGCTCCACCTGTTCATCCCTCCCTCCCACCAAACTCCTGTCAACCACTGATATTTTTCCTGTTTTTATAATTGTTTCTATAGAGCTTATAAATTTCTCCAAGTAAAAAATGACACAGAAAAAAACATAAGGAAAATCTAAGGAAGCATCATTAACACAATGGTTTCATTTTAAAAATGATATGATGTTGGGAGCCATCAGAGTTGAGACATGCAACTCTGTCTTAAGGAAATAGAATTAAGTTCCTTCTAGCAGAAGTTATGCGGTGTCCTGAGGGTTTGGCCAGAAGATAAGATTAACCTGCTGCTTAGCATCTCTGCAACTTACCCTTCCTGATCCTCCCCCATAGATAGCCCAGCCTTGGAATGTTACACCTGGGAATGTTACGCAGCCCTGGCAGTTAGCCAATCCTCTGTTGCCAGATACCTTACCACCTTGCCACTCTGTGCCTAAACCAATTATACACTGCCAAAGACCCCTCAGCATAGGCAACCCTGCCCGCCTTTGTTTCTGCTGTATATATACAGCCATTTCAAAGAATAAAGTAGAGGCTTGATCAGAGAACTTTGTCTTGCCTCCGTTCTTCGCGTTCCTTGTTTGTTCCATTCTCTTAGGTGGTTCCTGTGTACCCCCGTTGTTGCCCTGCGGGCCGGGACAATATGAGATAAATAACTGTCTATAGTCTTTTTGTGTCAGAAGTTTTATACACATTCTAGAATATATTTTTATATACCTACTAGAATATTATTTGATGTTTTAGTGTATATATATTAAAACATCAAATAATAACCCTATATACTAAAAGACTAATATGCAAATTATCCCCTCGACCTGGAGTACAACTGGGAAGACTGGCTGCCAACTGTCCACAGCCCTTCCACACCACTGCCGGAAACCAATTACTGTTTCACTAATAGAGAGATGTGGACAGGAAGCCAGGAGGGCTGTCAACAACATTAATTGCTCTAACCACTCACTCTTTAGTTGAGACATTGTTAGCTGAAGGAGCCTCTACCTCTGTTAGTCCTATGTAAATTTCTGTTATTTCCTGCCTAAAATGCTATGAGTGTTTTACCCATAGTCTCAATAAAAGGGATAGCAGGGCCAGAGCAGTGAGTAGTTATCCCATTAGTTTTGGACTACTGCCTGGCCCCCCATATTGCCAAATTAAATTTCTTCTAGTCTCTTTTCATTTGTGTGAGGCCCTTCTCCAGAACTTGAACCCTGAACCAGGACCCTGAATTAGGAGGGATGTGAAAGGTGATCCCACATCTGGTGCCCAAACAGGGACATCTGGAGGAGAAGATATTTTTCACCTAAGAGCAAAGGAAGGAAAAAAGTTACACCAAGAAAAGGTGTGGAAAATTCACCCGAAAAAGGTGAGGGAAGTTCACTGCACACAAAAGCCCACGGCCAGCTGCAGAGTCAAGAACTGTAAGTAGGGTGGGAATGTCTTTTTCAGCCAGGCTAATGGGGAAGAATTAGGTTATAAATATAAAGTAAACTTTATTATTACAGACTTTTGGTTTGCATGTTTAAAGATTGTGTTTCTTGTTCAAATTAAAATCTTAGTTTGTTTTTGGAATTTAAAATATGTAATAAGAAGTGAAACTCCATTGTTGAAACCGCCTCTGGTGAAGAGAAATTCAAAGGTGGTAGGAGAGGGCAAGGCTATCTGCTCTCCTGCAATGAGATTACTTAATGCCTTGTTTAAAAATTATAAAAGAACTCTCATGGAAATTCAAACCTTGGCCAAATTGGGTGTTATTACTTCAGAAAGTAAGAAATAAAGAAAAAATTTAAGATCTGTCTATCTTTTAAGTATAAAAAGAAATTCGGACAGATCCATTGCTGAAACTTCCCCCAAAGTAAGCAGGATGTGGGGAAGGAAGGGAGACACATGGAGATCCAGTGTGGAAGCCCACTCTCCCAATATGCTAAGGAAGGTGGTAATTTGTGTTCGAATGTGTACAAACTTCCTCCAAACTGGTTTGGCAAAACTTTTTTTGGAAGTTTGCTTAATTATATAAATAATAAAGTTAAAGGTTTAGATATTTTTAAGTGACAAAATGCTAAATATTTGACTGTCCAGCTCTAAAAGTTTAAAATTGATATCTTAAGATAATAATAATAATAATAAATATTATAATCTTTAAACCATATATGGATATGGACATATATATATATATATATATATAATGTTTGTTTATTTTCCATATTAAAATTTCAAGGTCTTAACAGAGATGATTCTTGGAAAGCTCCAAGAACTCTGAGTAATACAAGAAATTTATTCTCTCTTCTTAAAGGAAATCTTATTAAATTTAACAGATCTAATATACTTGAAATTGCATGGAAAGCCTTATCAAATAAAAATTAATAAATATGCTTTAAATGCTATGAAGATTTGACCTCTAAGAAAGGCAAAATGAAGTAAATAAATATTTCTAAATATTTCTTCCAGTTTAAAATTGAATTGCCATAGCTTAGAGCAAAGAATATCCTTACATGATATTATTCTATAATATCATTATAATTTTTGATATTTTACAACAGCATATTGTACAATTATCCCAAACAAACTTACAAACTAATTTTTTGAATGTTTGGCAGTAATATAAAGAGGACATGAAATGATTTTATCCCTTCCACTATGTGGAAGGCCCCCTGGGAAGGCACTTGAGCATTCTATATTGGCCTTTCTTGTTCTTTTTTGCCAAGAGGGATCCTCCCACAGCTGTTGCCTGAGCTTTCTGTTCTTGCTGTGGTTGAAGCCTTGTGGTAGCTGGTACCATGGATCTGTGTCTTGCCCAATGGCGTGAGATAGGCCCTCCCTGGAGAAGAATCCTGGGTTCCCCAAGATATGTGATTAATGCTGGGGCCCCTCCAGCAGGCGAGGGGATCGCAAGGCAGGTAATGGGTATGGAGGCCACAGGGGCATAGGCTACCAAGGAGACAAAACTGAACCTCACATCACCCTGCTTGGCCCTGGAGGATGGCTGTTTAGCCAAAGATGGGTAAGATTTCTCAGGGAAGGAACAACTTAAGACAGGCACAGTCCCAGAGAGGCCATCAGGAGAAAACTTGGGGATCAACAGAGGTGGGGCACAGATCCTCACCCCCCAACATTGCAGGGGCTTGAGCCTTTGCCCCTTCTGAGGGAGGTCTCCTGTCCTCATGGCTGCTTTGCGCTTCCCACACCCAGCTCAGATCAGGATCCAGGCAACAAACAGACTTGACCTAGCTCAAATCAGGACCCAGACAACAAACAGAGACTTGGCCCAGCTCAGATCGGGACCCAGGCAACAGAGACATGGCAGCTGCCCTATATCTAAATCCAGGTTACCCCCAGGAATATTTAGAACTTTCTCAAGGATGCAAATAATCCTTTCCATTAATGTTTACAGTGTAAACTAAGGTTGTTGTTTGAGTATTAAATTTGACAGTAAAATAGTAGTCAAGTTTTCAGATTAATTTAAATTGGCTAATTGAAATAAGTAAATATTCAAGAAAATTTAATTGTACAAAAAGCTGTTTCTAAAGTATTAACCAAAATTTCTATTGGTAGTTCATTTCATGGTAAAATTGCTTAACATGCAATGAACCTAAAGTAGTCATATTTTTGTGCAAAAAATTTAAAGTTATCAAAACTCCATTATAAAAATTTCCCAAAAGCCTTCTAATAATTAAATTAAAAAAGGGAGGTATAGTGAAAAAATACCATGTAAGAAAAAAATATCCTGTAAGTAAATTACATCTACACAAAAATTTTTTCTTTGAAAATTAATTTTCATTTGTAATACTTACAGCAAGACACCCATGGAAAACACACATGGTGTCAAAATAAGTCAAAGGAAAATTGGGCAAAAAATAAAAGGATCCCAACTAAAATTTTTAGAAAAGATTCCTTTATTAACTTTTGGTTGAGAATATGTTTGTATAGTTTCAGAAAACAACTCCAAGACCATGTGGATTCCTGCAACAGAGAGGAATTAACAGGAATGCTCCAGCCATGAAAACAAGAGGAGAAACATTTCAGAGATGGAAGATGCTGCCATGCTTGCAGTCAGCAGCTGTGCGTCGCTGCAGATTGCCCAGGACCAAACCAGAGATGGTAGGGCCTGCATTGCCACCATTTGTCCACCATCCGGACATCATTGCTGACATGTACACATAAGGAACTGTTGAACATTGAAACTTGGACTCAGAACTTTTGGACATTGAAATTGGGACTCAAACATTTTTTGTTTTTATATGTTTATTTCTGGTCTGCAGATGCAAGATTTTTTTTAAAGGAAAGAATTGGGGGGAGATGCCGGAAACCGCACATTGTCACTAATAAGAGAAATGTGAAAAGGGAATCTGAAAGGCTGGCCAATCTTAATTGCTCTGAATAGTTGGAGCTATTCACTCATTGTTTGGTTGAGACTTTGGGAGTTAAAGCAACCTCCACCTGTTAGTCATATGTAAATTCTTGCTGATTGTCTATCCTGCCAAAAGGATATGGGTGTTTCCCATAGCCTCAATAAAAAAGCATAGCAAAGGCCAGAGCAGTGGTAGTCCTCCCTCTAGAGGTGGACTCCGGCCTGGCCCCCCATTTTCCCAAATTAACTCTTTTCCAGTCTCTTCAATTGTTTTCGTCCTTATCCAGGAACCAGATTTTGAACAGGAATCCTGAACCATATGGGATGTGATAAGGGATACAACACTTATACAACTCAATAACAAAAACAAACAATCTGAATTAAAAATGGGCAAAGGAATTGAATTCACAGTTTTCTAAAGAAGACATACACATGCCAACAGTTACAGAAAGAGGTGCTCAACATCACTATTTACCAGGGAAATGCAAATCAAAACCACAATAAGATCTCACTTTGTAATAGTTAGAAAGGCTATTATAAAAAAGACAAGAGATAACAAGTGTTGGTGAGAATATGGAAAAAAGGTAAGCCTTGTACACTGCTGATGAAAATGTAAATTGCTGCAGCCACTATAGAAAACTGTATGGAGATTCCTCAAAAAATTAAACATAGAACTACCATGTATCTAGCAATCCCACTTCTGGATATATATCTAAATGAAATGAAATTATTGTCTCAATAAATATCTGCATTCATATGTTAATTGCAGCTTCAATAATAATAATAAAAGCATAATATGCTAATTAAACTGTCTGGACATCATTCTAAATGTCATTCTGAACAAAGCCACCCTGTTGGGGGACTAGGCAGAGGTGGTTAGGGGAGATCAGGCAGACAGGCAAGTAGTTAGGGGTGATCAGGAAGGCAAGCCAGTGGTTAGGAGCGATCAGGTAGGCAGGCAAGTGGTCAGGAGCCATAGGTCCTGGATTGCTAGAGGGATGTCTGACTGCCTATTTAGGCCCCTGCAGGATCGAGTCTAACCCACTAGTCAGATATCCCAGAGGCATTTCGCATTGGGAAAGGATGGAGGCTGGGCTGAGGGACCCACCAGGCCGTTAGTTATTTATAATAGCCAAACATATGGAAACAACATAAGTGCCCATCAGTGGATAAATGGGTGAAGGAAATGTTCTAATACACAATAGAATATTATTCAGCCATGAAAAGGAAATCCTGTCATTCCGGTAGGATGGATGGACCTTGAGAGCATTATGCTAAGTGAAATAAATAAGACAGAGAAAGACAAGTACTGTATGACTTCACATATATGTGGAATCTGAAAAATAAATGAAATCAGAGCTACAGAGAACAGATTAGTGCTGCCAAAGGTGGAGGTAGGGGAGTGGAAAAATGGGTAAAGGAGGTAAAAGAGTACAAACTTCCAGTTATAAGATAAATAAGTTCTGGGGAGCTAATATATAGCATGGTGACTAAAGGTAAAAGGCCTCGAAGGCTTTTGTTGTAATCTGGGAAATTAAAGTCACATTAGATTTTTATAATGAATCCTAATAACTACAAATTTTAAAATGCATCAACATCTTACAATCTACATCAATAACATGAAAGCTCCTAACCTAAGGGGAAACCTGGTTGAGTAAAAATTAATAAGAAGCAAACACCAGCCCAGCTGCCATAGCTCAGTGGTTGAGCATTGACCTGTGAACTAGGAGATCATGGTTTCATTTCCAGTTGTGGGATTGATCTCCAGTAGGGGGTTTGCAGGAGGCAGCTAATCAATGATTCTCTCTCATTGTTGATGTTTCTATCTCTCTCCTTCTTCCTTCCTCTCAAAATCAATACAAATATATATTTTTAGAAGTAGCAAACACCTAACAATTTATTGTATTTCTACCCTCATCCACAGCCTCAGAGCAGTGACTAACACAAAGGAATGAAATATTGAGAAAAGAGAAAAGCATTCCTTCTCAGCAAGGTCCTCCAGGAAGAGGGGACAGGAGTTAGCATGCCCTGATGTGTGAGCAGAGGAGTGGGTGGAATAAAGCATATGACAACAGAAAGGAAACAGGAAGAGGTCCCAACCGCCTCTGGTTTCTCAGCATTTTCATGTTTAGATTCTTATATGTCACTTCAATTTGCATCTATTTATGTACATCACAAATGTTTGCAATACATGTGTGCTTTGCCCACCCAATTAACTCTCTCATGGATTTAAGAGGGAAATGGCAAGACTATGAACAGAAGTGAGAGGAAATCAAAAGAATAAGGAGGAAAAAAATCTATGATTGTGCGGGGGCCAGACCAGGCTTTTGAATGGCAACTGCCTTCTCTGAATGAAGTGTCTACCCTTAGCTCTATGCCAGGCTTACATTTTTAGTCGCTCCACAGTGAAGAATTTCCCCCCTTGTTTCTACTTTTCCCCCTTTCTACCTAAATACACAATACTTGAACCATCTCCCTAACACTGAGGCCATTGCTTTTCATCCAATCCAGCTGACAAGCAGCAAAGCTAAGCTAAATCAGAAGATTGGGGGTTTTCTAACCACACAGGATGCAGATCTGGCTCTGTCTCTCTATTGATGTTCTGGGTGAGGGTTAGGGGGTTTGTTTGTTTGTTTGTTTGTTTTGTAGCTACAAATGGGCCCCTTAGGTTACCCTTTATTTTAGAAACACACTTTCCTTAAAGGCAAAAATACCACTCTTTATTTTAGAGAACATACTACCTCTTTTCTATTTCTGACTTTATGTTGAAGACATCATATTTCATATAGGATCTGTATCCTATTTCCTAGAGGCATATCAATCTATGTTGCCAATCTTGAAGAGTAAACAGTAAGTCCTCAGATATGTAATAGTATAAGTTTCCAGATCTATGCAGAGTTAAAAAAAAAATCTATGTCTAAGCCAAGGTCAATTTGTACGTGTGCTCACGAATAGTAAATATACTCTTGGGTTTCAAATTAGGCCAGTATAAAAAGAGGGAGGAGGATTCCTTTTTAATAAGAATTGAAAAATAATTTACTCAGTACTGTATTATATACTTAATGAAAACTACCATTTACCACACTTGTATCCTTCTATAGAAACCATGCTAAGTGCTTCAAATAGATTATCTCTTTTAATCATCAAAATAATGGTATCTATGAAGGAGGCACTATAATTACCTATTATGTTTGTTATATAAGAAAACAAAAGCTTAGAGACTTGAAATAACTTGGCAAAGATGATGTATAGAGTGAACGACAGAGTTAACATTAAAATCTGAGCCTCCTGACCCCAATGCATAAATTATGCTCTCCTTATTTCTATTCACTCAATCCCACCCCACCTATCCCCAATTGAACTAAACTGCATTTTTTATTTTATTTTATGGAAAACAAACAGCAATGGGCCTAGAGCATTGTAAGGTGGTGGTGAAAAGGGATCTATTCTGTAGGTGGACTGTTTCAATCCCATGGTCTTATTTCTTGCTAATAAATAGAGAGGAGGTAATAAATCCATACCTGCTTGTCATGGGCAGTTCTATGCCACCCTTAGCATTGCCTTCATGAATTATTTTCTGTTTTTTGTTTGTTTGTTTTTTTTCTTGTATTAGTAGGCCACTTTACCTTGAGTTAAAAACATTCAATTTCCAGTGCATTTTTCATTTGTTGACTTATAAGTAGAAATAGAAATAATTGATTTTATGACCAAGTACTTTATGGTGGGAATTATTATGATGATTTTCCAGGTGGACTCACAGAATAACATGACAGATCCCAGGTGAAATTCATTTCTAGCTAGAAACGAGTTAGAACTTAAGCCTAGGACTCCTGCCTGCAGAGCAGGTGTCCAAAGCATGTTTGTGTGAACTCTACATGTGCAGCAGCCTTGTTGGCACCCTTACAAAACATATCCAGAGAACTTCTGTTAATTCCTCCACAAACATGCTCTATCCTTTTTGCCTCCTATCTTGGCACATGGCACTGCCATTCAGGTGTGTGTGCCAGACACCTGCATAGCAGCCTCAACTTTTTTCTCTCCTTCATCACACTGCAATTGTCTTATATTATCAAATCATGTCTCTTTTATGCCCAGTGCATAAAATTTCTCTTTTTCTTTCTTCAATTTTTTTATTTTTATATCAACCCAAACAACATTCTGTCTCCTCTCTGGCTCCTAAGACTGTTTCCTAATTTGTCTCCAGCATCTCCTTCTTATCCACCTTCATTTCATTCTCATACTAAGGTCAGGATGATCATACTAGTCTATAAATGTCATACCATCATTTGCTGAAAAAGCTTCAATGTCTTCACACGATAAAAATCAAAACAGCAAACATGGATGACAATGCCTTATAAGATCTGGCCCTTACCATGTCTCACATTTCATCTCCTAATCTCTGCACCACAGTCCCACTGATATTTCCCATTTCCTCAGACACAGCAAAGCCCTTCACACAAGCTGTTGCCTCTCTGTGGGTCACTCTCACTTCCTACCTCTGAATAGTATGAACACTTAGTGTTTCTTTAGACCTCAGCTTGGACGTTGCTTTCTTAGAGACAATTTTCCTGACAGCTATTATATGCTCTCTCACAAGATCATTGCAATTCTTATTGCTGTCGCTGTTGCAATTTTACATTTATTGGTGGAATTATTTGATCAGTTTCTATCTCCCTTACAAGCAATACTGCTTTCTGTTCAACTTTGCATACTTAGTACCATGCTTAGCCCATAGTTGGCACACAATACATATTTGTGCTTACCATTTTTCTGAATGAGAAGGTTGTAGATTTTAGTTTGACTGCCTTGTGGGTAAAAAATAAAGCTGCACTCATATTTCCCACTGAGTGAGGAGGACATGTTCCTTAAGTGCAGAGTCCATGTTGACACATTCCCAGGAGTTTCTGTGAAAGTCACCAGTGACTTACAGGGAACCCCATTGGCACAGTAGAAGCCATATTGTTTGGGGTGATAAAGGGCAATGAGGTCCACCTTTTTGGTGACCTTGGACCATTGCATTTGCACCAAAATGCCTTCCTTCTGTGTTTGGCAGGTCAGATTGACATCAGAGCCAGGTAAAGCATAAATGTCTTCTCCTGTGTTGAATTTTCCTTCCCATATCCCTGAAAAGGAAGAACACGAGCCATCAGTTTACATGATTCACATGGATTGTCTCTTAATTATAAACTTGGATGACTTTGATAAAGTGAGTGAGAACCACAGGAATGTTCTCCCTGGCGGCCTCGGGGATTGGAGAGAGCTCATGCACAATCCAGATAGAGAAGCCTGGATCTCAATACATGTGAGGAAGCTTTTACTTTAGGATACGAGAGGAACTTACTGACTTCTGAATGTTTACTTTTTGTTGGTTGGTCTAATCTAAAAAATAACAAGATCTCTAGTTACTGGTGAATAAAATCAAGACTATCTTGAAATTCACCTTATTATGGCAACTATTCTTACATTTAATACAATTGGCTTTTTTTTTTTTTGGTTATGCATCAACAGCTGCATGTAACGCTCAAATGGTATTTTCTAAAACTATAAAAACAACTATAAACTCTGAGTAGCAGTTTTTTTAAAAAAATATATATATATGCAAGAGGTGTTTACATATATTGTCATGTTTAATCCTTCTCACATATTAGAGTGATATTATTAACATTCTTTATCAAAGAGGAAACTGAGGCACAGGCAGATTAAGTTGTTAGAAGTCACACCTCAGTAAAAGAATATGAATTGGGCTGCCTAAAATCTGCACTCTTTCTATAACCTCATAACCTCTAAAATGATCCCAGATTGGCAGAGAAGGGTAGGAAATTTGACACTCAATATATATGGATTGAAAGGGCCTTTATCTCCATGTAGTTGGAATTTATGGTGGGGGTGGGGGGAGGGGGAATGGGAGAAAACACCTCAGGTAAAATTCCCACTAAAGATAACTCATTTGGTTAGCATCATCTAGATGCTAGATATAAAAGAAGATTCTCTCCCATCAGTTGTCTGATCAAATGGTACAGGGGACTTAAAGTATGTTAAGCATTGCATCTTTGACATACCTTCAATAGCGTAGGCCTCAGTTTTAGAATGAACATGGAATACTTTTAAAGGAATGACATATTATTGTGACAAGTACCACAGAAGCTAACAAGGGGAAAAGATAAAAAGATGACAAGCAACTGAGAAGAAACAAGGCTCTCAAAGGTACTTGACAAACAGGAATTACTACACTTTTATGGATGCAAAAGCATGGGTAGGCAGAGGTTAGTACAGTTTAATGTATCTCCCTGTGAGCTCTCCTTTGCTGGATAATATGCTTCTGATCCTATCGACCACATTATATTCTAAAGTCTCCTTTGATTTAGAAATTCTCCTTAAAAATCTTAGTAGCTCTATTTGAAAAGCAGAGTTAATTTTTAAGACACTCAGAATCGCTATAATACCCTCATGCTGTGGGATACAGAACTAATCTTCCTTCCTACCAATTCTAAATAGGCCCATTAGGCTTTGGTTCCTACTGTTATAAGGACCCTGCTATGTCTCCCAGGTCTGTTACCTGCACATGGCTCATTAAATTCAACATATGCTCAACTGCTAACAACATTCGTCTTTAGAGGAGAAATGCTTGTAATTTCCAAAAGAAAAAAAAAAAGCATAGTTAAAAGAGAGAAAAAGCTGAGCAAGGATCTCTGAACATTGGTGGCTTTGTGAGTTATTTATTTATTTATTTATTTATTTAGTATTCCAGAGTTGTTCTGACTACCGGTTGGAGAACATTTCATTTCTAAGAATCAAAATTTCCCAGTTACTCCAGAGATCCTCTTAGGAAGGAAATGGGTAAAAATGTTTCTGAGCAGTGGCACAAACCACCCATCCCCTTCTTGGTTTTATTGTTCCTCAGTAATCCTTTGTAGACTCTAACAGCTCCCCGCTAGCTGCTGCTTAAATACATAACTGAAAACCTTCGGAACATCTGCCTTTGTGCTCAGTTTCAGCAGCAGTAGGAGGCATCTTCAATGAGCAAGAGGCCTCCCTCACCCCATAAAGTGGCTGATTTGACAAGAAAGTACAACTGGCAGCCTTACCCCTGACAACATGTATCTGGATGATGGAATAGATGGCCCGGAATGTCCATGTTTTCTCCATCTTCTCCTGTAGGGCTTACAGCAGCATTTTCACCGTGATCACAGAAGTCACCCAATATCTTTAGCTAAACAAACTCGAGCCACCCTATTCACACTGAAAAACCCCAAATCTACCACACGTCCGTGTGTGTTTATCACTTGGCAAGAGCCCAGGAAATGAAACGTAGACAGGAAAGTAATGTGGTTCAGAGCTCAGTATAACCTTCAACAGAACAGAGTCGAAATTGTTCTCTGAAACCTTGTGTATCACCTTTGTGAAAAGACTTTTCAGTACCCACAGATTCTCTCTCCATCAGGATCTCTGTGTCAGTCGAGCTGCTTCTAAATCCAAAGGAAATCACGCAGAGCAGTTCATAATGTGCTTTTCATGCACTTCTTTCAGGAGCACAAAGTCATTTAACAAATGTGAGCCTCGTGTCTTTTATAATAGTTTTTCTATTCAATTTAAAAATGTATTTGCTTTCCAGAATTGCTCCAGGGTGAAAGAACAAAACATTAACACACTTAATAAAATCTGAAAAGTGAGGGGACCATCAACTATCAAAACAAACTTTATTGTCTCCCCTCTTGAAGGGAACCCACATTTCCTGAGGGTGGGGGAGTGAGGGCTCCTTTTCTGCTCCTGGTCTGGGAAGAACTGGAAGTTAGACAGGGAAGTCACCCACAGTACTAGTGGGAGGCCTCTTGTACTAATGGCATAAAAGCTTGTGTATCAGCCCCAAACCACAGAGAGCGAGTCTGAAACAACCAGAGAGCAAAGGCAGAGAAGTTCTTACCTTAGCTAGTCACCAAGCATGTTACATCTGCCCAGTCACTTCCGTTTACAGAGGACCAAGATAGGAGAACAGGGAAGTGACTCCTCAGACATGATGAGTATCCCTTGACAGATGTGACTTCATGGTTTTATAGCTTAGGATAAAATAGACCATCTTCACCTTCCAACATTAAGAAGACAGCATTAGTTGGAAGACTGCAAAGTGTAATAAACAAAGAATAAAAATTAGTAATATATGTATCAACATACAACTGTAGGACAATCGGTGACGTATCCTGTGACCTCAATCTCACTACTACATTTTGGAAGCACCCAGATAACCCAAAGACAAAGGCAAAGGTGGAACTTCATTTGTGAGGTAACAATTTCTTTTTGAGGCCAGGGAAAGAAAATTTTCACCAGGTTGTCATCATGTATCATGTATCATGACATCATGTCATGAAGTGCATACTGATCTCCCCAATTCAGGGACTTGGTGTGATTATGAATAATGCTAAGACATAAGGCGTCATCCTTGTGATTGAGGGGATTAGATTTTAGTTGGGAGAAGAGAGATTTGCAGATGGTGAATCAGGGCTACCATCTTCCTGGATGTCCAGGCTACTCTGTACACATAGTTGCCATAATTGTACTTACTCATTACTACTTACTAATCATGTTTCCTGCAAAGGCCAGAAGATGAGTTACCCATTTCCTAATGTAGGCCTTTTCAAGCATTTACAGAACTCCCCCCTCCCCACAACCTCCCCACTAAATCTCAGATTACTGGAGATGTTGGGTTAGGTGGTGATGACAAGCATATTTCAGAGAGAGAGTTGGGAAGTTTAGAGTCTTTGAAAGGAGGAGACATCATGGCACTTGATGCCTTCATCTCTCCCTCATTTCCCTTAGAAAATCCAGGAAATGACAGTGATAGACTGTAGAGGTAAAAACAGTTCAATAGATATACCAGGGAGATCCTGATCTGTAGGTTGGCATCTCTACTAAATTGGGACACATTGCAAGCCTGGGGAAGAAATTTAGTTACCTCACTCCACTTCTCAGATGAAGGGGAATTTACCTAAGTGGAACCAATAAATATGCACATTTATTGAATTCTCTAAGAACAATACCCTTCTCCACTTAATGTACTTAGATTCCTCCCTTTAAAAAAAATCTAGTCTGAGTATATGTTTATTGATTTGAGGAAGGGAGGGAGAGAGAGAGAGACCTATGTGAATGAGAAACATTGATTGATTGCCTCTTGTACAAACCCCAGCTGGGGACCAAACCCTGAGCTTAGGTATGTTCCCTGACTGGGAATTGAACCTTTTGTTGTGGAGAACAACTCTAACCAACCGTGAGCCACACTGGCCAGGGCTAGATGTCTCCTATTTTTTATTGTTTTAAAATAAAGCAACTCCTCAAAAGATTGAAAATATAAAATAAAGCACCTTAATTTTTTTTTTTAAAAAAGGAAATTATCATATATTTTCCTGAGCTATCTATTCACTTTTAATGGAATCCTTTCCCCACATTTGGTTTGGGGGCTCAAAGCACCTGGTCAGTAGCTGCCGGGCAAATTGACCTTCTCTGGGTAATTATTCAGGGCCTGGTCCATGGTTCCTATATCTAGAAACCTCTGCAGCCAGAGGTCATCAGATCTGACTAGTTTTCCTTTGGGACCCACCCAGACTCTAAGAGAGGGGAAAAAGAAATTCAGATGCTCAAAGAATCTTAATTGAAGGCACCTGGTGTCCTGCAGCTGAGACCCAGGTGACAGCTGCTCCATGGCTGTTTTCGTGCAGCAGGTGGCAGCAACACCCTGCAGACCGGCATGGCTCTCCCAGATGATGGGAATTTTACTTCCATTGTCTTTCAATCCCAGTATTATTTTCTAAAGGCCCTTTCAGCATGGGGATAGGCATTCTCTAAGCTTAAAAATAACTCTTCTATAGAAGTCATGTCAATCTCTTCTATTATCCTCGCTGCTCACCAAATCCCAATTGCACGGCATTTCTTCTGTCTTAGAGTACACTCTGCTCATATAAAGAGGAAGCAGAAGCAGTCAGTTTCACACACAAAAAGAAATCTTGAACTCCTTGAACTTCAGAGGCAAATTCAATTATTTACAAAGAGAAGCAGGGACACTCATTATTTCTGCTACTGGCGAGCCATAACTGGTTGTTTTGGGCAAACTTTTTTTATGCTCCATCTAAACACTTAGCCTCAATGAGAAAAGGACATTTTCAGAAATAGGAAGTTGAACAAAATGGTAATCTTACTTTTGTGGTTTTCATAGAGGTTAACTCAAACATTACTGATTTGTCTTGCATTTTGTTTTTTACTTACACACACACACACACACACACACACACACACATTGTGGAGTGTTAGGTTTCTCTTCCAAAATGTTTAGAAACCATAATGCTTAATGTTTGTGCTAATAAAAACATATTTAAGTCCTAAATCTTAAAAGATTACAAAGTTCCATAGTTCTAAGTGATTTAGAAACATAAACGATAAAAACCATGTCTTACCTTTTAGACACTTGCATTTTGCTGCAAAAAACATCCCCAAGTGACACATGCACAGGGTCAAAAGTGGAAGTAGGATAGGTCTTTAGGCAAGAGGAAATCTCTCAGCATCAAGTGGGATAGGAGCCTATGAAGTGTAGATTCTAAATTTGCCTTTATATTATAGACATGGATCTGGCTTTGCCAGGGCCTTGCATTACTGGGTTGACCCTGTTCCCTCCCCTCCCCGCTCAATCCCACACTCCCTCATTCACCATAGTTCTGCCTCCTCTATCTTTTCTCTCCTTCAGAAGCTCCTTGTTCATTGAACCTCAGGAGGTATTTGCAAATTTTCTGCTTCAAATACTCTTCCACAGACTTGTTTCCTGACTGGGTTCTCTCAATCTGAAGAGACATCCCCCCTCATTTTATAAATGAGGTAATTCAAATGCCCTCTCCTTCCCTTGCAAACTTTTCTGACGCCAATAACCCTTTAAGGAGTCCCTGTCATGGATCGCTGTCACATCAAGAGCTGAATGTCCCTCATGGTGCTTATCACTATGAGAAATTAGATTGCTTATGTTCTTATTTGGATGTTGATTAGACTATAAACTCTGTAAGGACAGGGGCTTAGTGTATTTGTCATCTGTTATGCCTCCTAAGATGCCCTTTTGTTCCAGCTGATATGAAGGCAATCAGCTGTTCACATGCACAATCTGACAGCACCTGTCCTCAGAGGCTCCGAATGCCTCCCACTTTCTGAGGTGGCATCTCTGGGGCAGAGACACAGTGCCTCATCCATTCTGATACATGCAAAACCCTGGAGTTCACGGAAGTCAACATCCTACAGGAAAACACATGACCCATGTGAGCAGGAGTTGGTGTATGCATCCTTCCTCTTCTGAAGTTTAGGTGAATGATCCCAAGGTGTATTTTACATGGCTCCTCACAGGGTGCCCAGACACATTTGTCCATGGTACAACTGTTTAATAATGCACCCTCGGATTGGCTTTCCCTTTTCCCTGCTTTATTTTTGTTTTTAATTTCCCATTCCTGTTTCAGAGAATAATATTCCAAAGTACCTATAACAGACCTTTACCTTGGGCTGTGCTTTTGGGCAGAATGCATGCTATGGCTGTCTCCCTACTCACTGCTCTTACCCCAGCACTCAGAATGGTATTGGGCACATCATAGATACTGTATGAATATTTTGGGTGATACTCTCTTTACCAAGTAATGCCATTTCCCATCAAGGGGAACAACCATATAGCATACTTATCTCACAATGTTTACAGAATTGAAATAAACTAAATAATAGTCCTAAAAATAGGACATCTTTTTTATTCCAACATATTTATTGACAAATATTGGGCTCCATCTACATGGCAGGCAGTAGGATTGACTCAGAGACAAAGATAAAGAACCTTTCCCTTCTCCCTATGTCATTGCATTGTCATGGAAAGGGGTGACCTCTACAAGGATGAGCAATTCAAGCACCCCTGTTGGATTCACCACCATTATGACCTTTAGGTCAGCTGGGAAGGATATAAGCCTAAAAAAAACTAGCACCTCATAAAAGAGCCAGCAGTGTGTTCCCTGACAAAAGTACAATATGTATCTTGACAAAGTGAATATAAAGTCTAAAGACATTTCATGGCTGTCTTTTCAAGTGCTCAAATCAACTGGAGAAAATAAAGAAATCTTGTCACATACAGCTTGAAATTCAATAGT